CCAAAATCGGGAAGTGTAGCCACTTTATTCTAGCCTTCGAAAAAGCGAAAGCGCATTCAAGAAAAGTTAGGCGCAAAAGCCAAAAGAATTCATAGGTGTCTTACGTGTGTGGAATTTCTTCCTCCACATCTAGTAAATGAGTATGCAAAAAGAATAGAAAAGTATACGGAATATATAAATACCACTCTTTTTCCAAAATGGAAAAAAATGGCTATGCGATTAGCACTTCGGAAGAAATAGCGAACACAATAGCTGATACGTTTGCTACTGTTTTCAAACAGCAGCAGTTACCCATCTGCATTCTTTCTGCCAAGCATTACTTAGAGAAAAGTCCCCGTGTCTGCAACTCTTCGAACTCGGAGCGTTGGAATGGCAATTTTACTACACTTGAATTGAAAAGAGCGATGCTGGAGACACATAGGACTAGTCCAGGTCCAGATGGTGTCAGTTACGAAATGCCGAACATGTATTCTGTAGGTCGTTAGCTGCCCTTCTCACACTTTACAATCGAGTGTGGAAGGTACATACCTTTCCCAGAGCACAGAAGAAAACTGTAGTCATAGCCATAGCTAAGCCAGACAAAGACCCGAAGAATACTTCCAATTATCGGCCTATCGCACTTACGAGCAGAATGTTCAAGTTTCTTGAAAAAAATGGAAAACCGCCGTTTCGTCTATTACTCGGAGAAAGACAATTTTATTTCTCCTTACCAAAGCGGTTTCCTTAAAGGCAGAACGATGATCGATAATAAGCTTCTTTTAGAAACCACCATACGTAAAGCCTTCGTCAAAAGAAACTAGCTAGTGTCCATTTTCGATATGGAGATGAGTCATTTTGCGTGATCTTCATGCTAGTGGTTCGTGCAGTAATTTGCCAGTTTTCATTAACAAATTTTTAGAGCTAGACACGTCCAAGTAAGGATTTGTTCTGTTCTGTCAGATCATTTTGAACAAGAACAAAGTGTGCCTCAAGCCTAAGTTTTTAAGTGTTACTTTATTCGGTTTAAATTGTGTTTTAAAAGAAGTTTCTCCAACCACTTCAGGATCATCGTATGTTAATGACCTTCACATTAGTTGTCAAGGTACAGATGTGAGAATTGCGGAGAGACAATTGCAGACCGCCCTTAACAGAATCGAGGAATGATCAAACAAAAGAAGGACTTGTATTTTCGAAACAGAAGACTGTGTGATGCAATTTTGTAAAAAGCGAGGTCTCCTTCCTGAATTTGAATTAAGTCTTAATGGATCATTAATTCGAGTTGAATTTGAAGTGAAGTTTTTAGGAGTGATGTTTGATCGAAAGCTGGCTTTCCTCCTGTTTTATATCCGAAGATGTGTTTCAAAATATTTATATAAAAACTCCTATTCAAAATATTCATATATAAAAAGTCCTTTCAAACGCTTCCTGAGGCGCTGAGCGCTACTCTTTTGTTTTGACCATACAGAACGTTTATACGATCTAGATTAGATTATGGATCAGCACGTTTTTCTATTTTGTTGAAATTAGATCCTGTCCATCATGGAGCTCTGCAGATTAGTTCTGGAGCCTTCAGAACGTCTTCTGTTCAGAGTCTGTATGTTGACTCATATGAACCATTTCTCCAGTTGAGACGCGCGCGTCTTTTTTTAAGCTAGTTTATTTTGTGTACCTTCTTTCTCTTTTAGGATTTGCTCCATGATCTAAGAATTCCATATGGCTGATGTGACCATTCAAGCAGTGAGAGAAAAGAAACACTAACGAGATCATATATAAACAGCTTTCTGGAGCACAGACATAAATATGGCAGTTACCTTTCTCTATATACAAATGGCTCAAAAACAACTACCCATGTTGGGACATTTGTAACTGGTGACAACATGCAGTGTAAATGTTTACACGACTATTACTCTGTCCTAACATCTGAATTAACTGTCACTTTCCTTTATATCTAAATAATGACGGAAAATATTATTTATACTGACTCTTTGAATGCATTGAAAGCATTAGAAATATTCTCTGATACAAAGAATCCAGTACTTGTTCAAGTCCTAAGGTTAAATTAAGACACCGTGGTTATCATATTCTTTACTGCTAGGTTCCTGAACATGTGGCATTAAAAGAAATGTGTTCGGCAAATATCACGCTCCTTTGCTCAAAATGTAATGCCCATCTAATGGTGTGTCACATTTTAGGAGAATGTGTACATTTTAAAGGTTTTCGTTTAAAATATTTTAATAGCTCTCACTTACTTCTTGAATGGAAAAGAGGTCAATTTTAATATATTTCAGTATTTGAGAGAAACTGGCTTTTATTATTTAATTCGATTGGTTTTAAATTGCTTAATTTGTTTTTATGTGGTTTATGTACTTATGTCTCATTATATATTGAGATTTTACATTGTTTTAAATTAAATCTATAATGTCACTTTATTAACTTTGTATAATTATGACCATGGATTTGGCACATCATAACCTTCTATGTTATGCATCATTAATTTCACCATCCCTCCATCCATCCAGTCATTTTGACTAAGGCTGCCCTCAGTAAAAATTAATAAATTTAAGAAAATGTTAAAATTTTTAAGAACTGATTTCTGAAGTTTGAAACATAAAGCACTTTGATATAAAAGTGCTTTATGTTAAGTTATTTAATACCAAATTTAAAACTGAAGGACAATACTGAAAATTATTACCAAATGCACTAATATGAGTTCAAAGTTTTGATGTTCTGTCCAGTTGTATGTATGATTTCCTATATTGTGAGCATCATTTTATGTGTGAAATAAATATTATTCAGAAGAATGCCAGGTCCCTCTTTCCTGTATACCTGACAAGTACACAAATTTATATGCATCAGGGAAAGGAATATTGACTCAAAATATGACTTTCTGTTGTACATAGCCTGACTGGAATAAAGCCAAACAGAACTCAACAAGTCTACAAGGACTTTGATTGTTTTGTTATCATTCCTCAGATCAGGAAATTTCCAGATGACAGTGCTCACCATATGCACTGATCTGAAATAAGTAAAGAAGAAATCGAGGAAAAAGTGAAAAAAAAAAATATGATGACATGCCATATCCAGGAGTCAATTTAAAAAACAAGAGGCCCAAGACACAAATTCTTACAAAAATGCCCTTTCCTCTCATTCCTTTCAATAAATAGACATTAGTAATGTGAATTACATAAATTATTTTGTGAAATAACATAATAACTTACCATTTTTTCATTAAAAAAAACTTAAACCAAAAATGTATTTCACTTTTCTATATGTTCTGGTTTTTGTAGCTTCAGTTTATTTTGAGTTACGTTACTAAATCATAATGATAAGATACCAGTGTAATTAAATTACCTTTCAATTTAATAATATAATAACATCTATAATAATAATACCAAAATAAAACTATGATATTTTCATGACATCATGAGCTTCAAATTTGGTGGTCACACAATAACACAGTATTTATTATTAGCATACAAATTAAGGCTTTATTAAATGGTATCAGTTGCTGATAAGAAAACAATACAAGAGTCCAGTGTTTGGTGATTTTTTTAAGATAAAAAACTAAAATAGAAAATTTTAAATTTTTGTTTCTGCTGTTTACATGTGAAATTTTACATTTCTGAAACTGAAGACTCAAAAAATATTTTTAAAATTTGACGTATCTTGAATATTATAGAAGCATTCAGAGGCTTATGGCATATCTCTATTTTCCATTGCATAAATCAGGCTGCAGTTGCATTAAATAGTTTCTTACTCTACATAAATCATGTCTGTTTTAAGAGTTCTCTTCCCTACACATGTGCAGATAGTTATTTTTATACATGTTCCTAAAAGACCTTCAGCTGGAATTAAATGCTGACAGAATTTATTTATTTTTCTTTATTTCCTAGATAAATACCTGCTTTGTTTATACTACCCTCATTTACTAACATTACAATTTTTTTTCACCCTTTAAATATGTGAATCCTAACAATTACCATCCATTGCAGTAATAATATTTGCTGTTAAGTGATGCTTGATGTACAGTGGAAGAAAATATAACTTTTCAGGATTTATAAATTCTTTATTGATGACATTTAGCTTCTCTTGATGCTTGCTTGGACGAATGCTTAGTTTTTTAATGTGTAAGTTTTAATTTTTCTTGTCTCTGCTGTCCCATTCACAACAACAATAATTTTTTAAAAACACAATAAAAATTTTAATTTAATTTCTCCTAGTAGATCTTTTGTACAAAGATTTCCAAATATTCAACATTTCCCTGTCAAAGATAGAAAATCTGTTGATGTTAAAAGTTTTACTCAGAAATTATGCTTAACCATAAATATTTATGTTATTTGTATATGGAAATGAACTATCAAAATACTCAAATGGAAATATGAACTTCATATTTCAAGTTTCAATACACAGACTGACTTAAACCTCACTTTACTCCCCCCCCCATATTCCTTGAAAACATTTGCATACTATCAAGTAAAGAAAATAACTGTGACACCACTCAGAAACTGAAAGCAATAAGAACAATTTGCATATCTGAAATCAACAGAAAACAAACCTATTTATTTCATACGCCACCTCAGACGGTACGGTGGGCACAGGCTGCCTGTTAACTTAAAACTAAGAGTGTTGGCTCAATTCATATGCAAAGCTTGAACATATGGATTTACATATGAATTTATGAACATGAAGCTTGTGTGTATTAGCTTCCCTTCCTGCAGATGTAATATTTAGTTATACCCAGCAATGACCACTAAGCAAAAGTCTTGGAAATGAGACTGTTGAACAAAGGCCATAGTGTTCAATGAATGCTCAACCAGCAAACGTCTGACTGCAAAAAGCCACAAAAGTGACAAAATCTTTGGTAACCAATGTAATTATTCAAGAATAATTAACTATTAATAAACACATGTGCATTCTTCAATTAAATGTCATTTTTTAAATATAATTCCCTGTTAGTGTAGTTCCTAGGTTTATATCATACTAAGGAAGCACATGAAATATTTGTAAACAAAAGATAACAGTTTTCAAAAAGAACATAAAATTTATTAATATGTTCAGTTCTCATATGTATATATTACACTTAATAAATAAGCAGTTGGCCTTTGATCTTTATGATACAAAGAGAAAGTTATGACATATAAAAGCCAGATCACAACTATCTAAATTACATGTCTTTAGAAAATAAAACACAACAAATGAGCAACATGAACAGGTTTTGTTTCTTTTTCAGTTTTAATTAGAATTTTGTAACACTAGATTACATATACAGACAAAAACACAAAATTTCACTTTTCAAGAATAAAAATAAATTATACAGTTATTCATGAACAAGACACCGCAAACTATAAATCTGCAGTGCATTCTTGTTCATGTCAGTATATACCATTTGTACGGAAGAACAGAAACAGTAGAATTTGGATTATCCAGTAAATGCAAGTAAAAATTCACCGTAAATGTTCTCAAAATTTTAAATATAAAGCGCTTAACAACAAACTTATTTGAAACTTATGGCACAAAAATATAAATTATATTCACCACATGATAAAATCACAAGAGCATGGTCAAATTTAATACACAAATACAGTAAAATAAAATGAGATACATGCATGGAACATATAAATTCTAACTATAAACCATCAATAAATCTTATATTCATTTCCAGGATGCATAGTTTTACTTTTGCAATTTGGCAAAGTTTGTACTGCAAATGTTTTCTTGATGCAATTATCACTGACTGACATCATTCAAGCACTAGTACTTCTATTAAGTAAAAGACTAAACTTTAACTTTGCCTATATTAAAAAAATGTTTTTTAAATTAAGTACACTTTTAATAAATTTCTTAAATTCTAAATAGGGATAATCAAAATCCTACTGCAGCAACATTTATTTCCTCCATAATTAAAATTAATTCGCTCTAAATTCCTTTTATTTCGCAGCCGATGATATTTGACATTCCAAATAATGCCAGTGAACTGCTTAAAATGTTATTGCTTTGCTTTTAGTTAAATAATAAATATCTAATATTACTAAACTATAAATATTTTAACACCAGTGATTTACTATTTTATTTTATAAAGTACTGATACAGAGGCATACCTACAATGGACCTTTAAATCATTTCCATAACAGAAGCAAGAATGAAATTGTCAAATAATCAATTTAAAATAAATCTAGATATGAAACTCTCCTGCTTGTTAATTAGCTTTTAAATTTCTATACTGGAAGTTTATTTATCAAAGCAATGATTTACAAATAATTTCGTACATTTACAGAAAAAAAAAAAAAAAATGCTTAAAACAAAATTATGCTTCAAATTATAAATAAATCAAAATTATTCAGAATAAATACAAAACATTAATATTGCATTTAAAAAAATAAAACTCTTGAGGTGTCTATGGAACAACTATAAAAAAACATACACATTAATTTTTGACAAAAACTAATCTGGAACATGAAAAGCAATACATTTCTTTCATGATTACGATATTAGGATAGTTATGATAGTATTTATAATCTTAGAGTTCAGCTGCTCAAATCATTTTGAATTTCTTTATATATATATATATATATATATATATTAAGTAATTTCTTTTTAGAAAAAAATTGAAATTATATACACTACAATGAAAAACTTTAACTATAAAATTTGTATGATCTATGTATATACAATGATGACTTATGAACATAATGACAAAAATATGTATAAAATGGAATAAAACTGTCAAAATTCTTAAAACAGTACCTATACAATAACCGGATTAAAAAAATTAAACTCTTCAAAATATTGTGCCACAAATTTACCAATTCTTGAAAAGCCATGCAATAACAGAAAGTTGACTTATTATTTGCATAATAAAAAGGTACAAGCTTCATGTATATTCTAGAATTCTCAGGAACGTTGTCATAAAATATACATGACTATTTGAAATTATAGAAAAGAAATTAGCAAAAGCAAAATTATGGCAACATTAAAATTCTAGTAAATTAAAAATAATTTTTAAAAAATTGGAACATAAATGAATTTAAAACCATCATAAAATGTTAATACACATTTTTAGAATATTTATACACTATATAGTACTTTGACTCACAGTGGTAAAAATGTACAGAAATTATACTTTTAAGTAAATTACAAATTTGAACAGCCTATGAGTCTAAACAGCAATTAACCATGCGATAGTTTTGTATTTTACAAAACAACATGACTTTTCTGTTGCTTCCTTATATAACAGCAAAGGTCTTGCATACTTAACTTAATACTTAACTTTGACTCTTAGCGTGTGCTTACTTAGAGCTACCTCATGACACGGTGTACAAACGTTTAGTGGTAACAGACATTGCATAGGGAAAAGATGGAAAAAACTGGGGATATTTTGTTGTTTTTTCCCATGAGAAGGGCAAAGTGGAAACTTGGGAAGGTGCTCAGACAGGCAAGCATACATACCAAACAACTACACTCGTACAACTATACAAAATAATTTATCGAGCTGAGTTGGATGCATTACCATTAACAAGACAAAGGAATGAATCCAGATGCGGCCAACTAACAAGTAAACCTGGTTACATCTGAGATTGCACACAAAATTCAGATTAGCTGATGTTTTACAGATGTATGCTAGCCCACCAGCCTGTGCCATACTTGGCATTCAGCAGATGCTCAGCTGTTGCAGTTCAAAGAAGATCTATGCTCGATATTTCTATCTACACGTAATAGGTTCTTTTTGTTTAAGGAAGCAGCATATGAAAAAAAAAACTGTATAAGTTCAAACCCGTGCAACTGCTACCTCTTGCCTCATTGAGCGAGGTAAAAAATTCAGAGATTGACCATGCAATTTTTAAATCGTATTGTCAACTGGTTTATCTTCTCAGGCTATATATATGTTTTTTTTTAATAAAATGTTTCATTTTATTTTTATGCTTCTTTATTCCATGGGGTGAATATGGGGCCAATATGACACCAGTTTTCTTGACCTAAAAAGAAATTTAAAAAAGAATTATCAAAAGAAATACTGAACACCCAGCAACATCTCAAATAATACTAATCCATACTTTTGTTAAAAAATTTCAAGAAATTTTATAGATAATATAGATGACTTATTCAAGCAAGAAAATGTAAGGTAAACGTATGCATTGTAAATTTTGGAATTCTGGTCTGGAATTGTGGGTGGTAGAAATAGTACCGTAATTTTGCGCGTATAGTCCACGGACTATCTGTGTTTAAAATTTTTGAAGCTGCGGACTATCCACCAGTGCGGATAATACGCTGGTTGTTCACGGTTAAAATCGTCGAAATTTAAAAAACATGCTGTCGTGAACTGCCGATGATCAAATATAAAAAAGCGCAAGATTCCAAGAAACATTCGTATGTATCGTATCGATAGTAAACCATAGAGCATAGTGCAGAACGAATGAGTAGTAGCAAGTAGAGTTCCTAAAATACAGGCTGGCGCATCAAGCGATGCCGGGATATGAGCCAAAGAAAGTCTTGTATGAGCACTCACTTAGTGCAAACGGTATCCTTTGCACTGCTTTAGCGCAACTGCCAGGAGGGGGAAATGTAGTTCATGCGTCAGCTCGGTTTTTAGGAGCCATAGTAGCAAGTACTTGGAGTACGAAAAAAAAGCGTGATTCGTTTACTTATACAGTCAAAAGTCGTTAATCCAGACTCGTCGGGTCTTCGGCGATTCCGGATTATCGATTTTTCCGGATTATAGATCATCAGTTTAAATCTCATAAGATGGCATGCAGAAATTCTAAAATTAAAAATATGAAACAGTAATTTATGAAATAAAGAACAATTATGATCTAAAGGGTATCAAGATTTACAATAAAAAGGCTTAATATTTATTTGTTTACTTTATTAAACATTTCTTTCAATGTAAGTTGCTTCATTTTATGTGATAATACTTTCTCTTTAATTCTATAAACAGACATAATTTCTTGTTCAGTTACAAAGTTCCGCTGTTCAAGTCCTGTTAATTGAATTTTTTTTATACAAAATCGTGTCTGCAGACTATACGTGCGAAATTATGGTACTTATTACCCAAGTTGATCGTATGTACAGATTGGCAATCCAAATCTCACTGAATTTTGGCAGCTATTTTTCTCTTGCTAATTTTTCTAGCAATTAAATTTTGGAGGAGAGGCGATCTTGAGAATTTGAGTAAACTACGATATAAAAGTATTAGGAACATTCAAATGAAAAGGTATTGATTCTAAAATTCTTCAGGCTGTCAATATGTTCAAAAGTATTTGTTATAATTATGAAGATGCTTATTTCACTGAATACTCAATTTTGAATTATTTCATTATAAAAGTCCTCAAACTTATAGAACTAGAAGACAAAATTTATCAAATATATGATAATTTTTAATGCTATGTTCTCAATTTCTAAGTAACTGAGTCATTCGAAGTGAATTCCACATCAGTACAGCAGATACATCCCCCCTTCAATAACTGAGTGTTTAAGACTGAGGAACACTGATAGTTGACCTGTGTTCATATCCTTACAAAGGGTTTGCTGTGGTTTGCATTCATTGTTTTTCCCATTGTGTAGCTGACAGTTTCCCTTAGAAAGTCTATCTATGAAGTTATCTTTTTCCTTAGGTAGATAGCAATTGTGTTTTTTGTCGTATTAAAACTAGACATAACAAATTTCAGATGTTGATTCTTACATTTCAGATATTGATTCTTTGAATTATAAAAGAAGCATTATTTGAAATTTATTTTGAATAAAAATGCATGCATCTTCTCATTCAATGTGTTTTTCAATGTCTTCTGCCAAGAAATTTGAATCATCTTGCGAATTCTCTCACCCTTGCAGTAAGAAATAAGGAGCAGACAGATAGAAGTCCGGCCAGGTCAAAGCTTAGAAAGCAAGTGAATAATATTCAGGATAAAATCTTTATTCAGGCTGAGTTAATTTTGGTTCTCAATGCATTTTGATTGGATAGTTAATACTGCTATAAAATTACTATTGGCTGTTAGAATTTTAGTTCCATTTACATCATCAAAATTACGTAAGAATCATATGACATAGAATAGTCTTGAAATGACGCAGTGCAAATAGATGTTGCTATTTTTAGAATTCAGATGGGAAATTTACATTGCTAATTTAATCTTTTACATATTCTTTATTTTCCTTTTATCTACATACATGCACCCTGACTACACAGTTAAAGCAATATTTTTTTTAAACTGTCCTAAATTCTTGAGCTTTAGTAATTTGAAATTTTCAGTAAGTTAAACTGACTAATTTCAACAAACTAAATGCATTAAGAATTAATATTTTCTCAATAGTCAAAATTCCTTCACTCAAAATATTTGACAAATCAGCTTTTTTTAAATGATTTTGAATTTGTATTTCTTTAGATTTTTTTTTTTTTTTTTTTAATATTTAATGTTTTAAATATTTATCTCATATTTTAAAATGGGTAGTATTTTCCTTTTAAAAATAAAAAGATAATGACTTTAAAAACATTTTATTAACTTTCAGTCCACGTGAAAATGCACCATCTAGTTCTTATAGCTACATGATTTTACATCACTGTGCTTCTCTCAGAATAGCTACCATCATTTTCACCTTTACATTTCATATTAATGAATTTGTTAATTTCTCTTTCAAAAAAAAATTTTTTTGTAATGAAAAGATTTTTATTATCAATGTATGGAATTACATTTCTCTCATTCTTTAACTACATTTACAGGCATATAATAAAGAACCCTAGCTGATTTTTTCTTCTTCTTCTTCTTACTAATCCCCCTGATCTGAATCAGATCAGATCCATTAGGTTCATTTACCTTCATAACTTCTAACACAAAATTAGATCTCCTCAGCATATCTTCACACACCAAGGCAACACAACTAAATAGATGTTGTGCAGTAGCTTCACAGTTTTCACATTTGGCACAAGTTGGAACATTTTAGTATCATGGGAATGTCTGTGGGCCCTTTATATGTTCCTAACTCAACCGAGCCAGAGCCAATTTATCTTTTCTGTCACCCTTGAAACCAACAGCAGTACTACGACCAGAATTAAGATACCACGAGTAAGTCAGTAGCTGTCTCCAAGAAGTAATTAAAGCCTTTCTTCCTAAGTATAGTTCAAGATAGGTCAGAGGCATGGAACGTATTTACCTGAGGCATGGAAGTACCCTACTCTGCTAATCTATCAACTATATCATTATATTTTAGGTTTACAGGAGATGGTATCCATTGTAGAAGGAGGACTGAAGAATGGGACAAGGTCTTGAGTTTTAAAATAACTTTAATTCCTCTCAGGTCTCTAATCTTTCTCTAGTTATCTAGGTATTGGATTACACTTCAGCTGTCCATAAGGATCCAGTTTCCCCAGATAAATGTCGCTTTAGTACATAGATCAAAAGCATATCAATAGCAATCAATTCAAAGCTGAAAACAGAACAGAAATCGGTATTTTTATGCTTCAGGGCCATTTCTTTCACTCCAAGTTTAACACAAGCCCCACTACCAGTGTGTTAATGTTCATTCTTACTGTCATCTGTATAAATCAGAACTGCCTCAAGAGGTAGTCTATGAATCACTTCCAGAGAAGCCTGTCTTGAGTATTCAGGATGTTAAGAAGACTTCTAAGTAATAGTTAATAACTCTCTACAAAAAAAACATTAGATAATGAGTCCACAGGAGATGCGGCAGGTTTTAAAGAATTAAATTAAACAGAAGACTGTAATACATCCAATTTCTTAGCATGACTGAGAGGACTATTCCTTTTTAATCTTTGATTATTTTAACAACCATTCAAAAAGATTGCAGTATGATGTTGATCAAGAAAACATAAGAGTTTGCTAAAGCATTTAGTAAGATTAGGAATACTTCTTAGCCACAAGGTTTACAAATCAGCCTAGTAGAGAATGATTTCAGCTGGAGTACTGTTTCAAAGTCCAGTAATAAGGTGAGTTGCACTCAATTGTACCCTTTCCAGTTTTTGAAGATTTGCATCTGAGGTGACATGATAGATTTGAAAACCAAATTCAAGAATTGGTCTTATAAGGCAGGTATAAGTTCTCCTTAGGGTCTTGGCATCAACACCCCAGTTGCAGCCAGAAATAAATTTCAAATTATTGTCTCTTTCTAGCCTTAGATACCAATAGGTCAATGTGCTAATTACATGTGATTGACAAGGACAAAATGAAGATATTTGGGATTCCTCTCAAACTGTAAGATGTGACCATTTAGGAAAATGTTCAAACTTTAACTATATAGCTGCCTGTTTGTTGTAAAGCATTCAGTTAAAGATTTAAGAGGATTAAAACTAAGTATGTGATCCCCAAAATAGTTCTGAATTTCCTGAATTGAATTATTTATACTGGATTTGAGATTGTCAATGTTTAGACCACTGCACCAAAGTACAATATCATCAGCAAATATAATTTGTAATCATGAGTAATTACACATTCCATAACAGAGATGTATAATGCATAAAGGATGGGACCCAATACATAGCCCTGAGGAATCACTTGTTTTGATCGGTATCTACCAGAGAGACCACCATTATATTTAACACTGAAAACTCTGTTTCTGAGAAAAATCTTAGATCCATATAATAGCCCTCCCATCGACAGCAAAAATTTCATATAATTTATTGATGAATCTATTCTTTCATATGCTGTCAAAAGCCTTATTTAAATCCAGAAGACTCATAATAGTACTGATTAGTCGGGTTTTTATTGTGAGCATCTCTCACATGTTGAGTAAAACATAGTATCAGGTCTTGAACACTATGTCCTTTTCTAAAACCATATTGTTCCATTGGTAGAAGATTATTAGTTGCCAAGTGATACCTAAGGCAATTCAATAAGTTTCACAAAAATCTTGCAGGTAAAATCTGTCAAGGCAACAGGTCTGTAGCTGTCCAGAGTACCAGCATCTTTATAGACTTTCCTAACAGGCTCTTTTCCAGTCCCTTCATATTCAAACATTATTCTAGGATTGATTAATATATTAAGTAATTCTTGTTTACTGCAAGAACCAATATGCGTAATCATCAGTGCGAGCAATTGTTCAGGGCCAGGCAACTGCTTAGAGTCAAGTTGTTTTAAAGCTGTTTCTGATCTAAAGCATCACTAAACAGCGGATTCTTTGACTTAACATTATGATAATGAGGTTGTTTATTGTTAAAAGCCTTACCTAGCTTCCATACTTTTGGGTTTTAGCATCAATGCTTTCACTTTTAGTCCTAGCATCAATGCTTTCACAGATACTGATCCATCTTTTCCTCCTTTGGTAAGCATAGATGTACTTAAATTTTGCATTCACTATCTTCACTTCAGTTCTCTTAGAAGGTTTTTTTCACAAATAAGAAACTCCCTGGATAAACTGTTTCTCTTAAGAATAAGAGTGTAGGTAAAATAATTGTGAAGTTAGAAATTCTTAGTATTTCCTCTCGGGGTAGCTAACTTAGCAGCTCTTAGAATGATCCCTCTGAGATAAAGCCAATGTTGGTCCCAATCATGAAAAGTCATATTTGCAATACTTTCAGAAACAATTGTTCAATAAAGACCCCCAATTAGCTTTTTAAAATTCCGGTAGTTCTTTTTAGTAACATTCATCCTTCAAATTATATTTGGTCATGACAGGTGAGGGATCACTTCCTGTGTTATCCTGAACCTTCCATTTGCATTTAGAATATAAATCATGACTTGTAACATCTAAGACCTCGTTTGTAACATAGTTATAAGAGGAATTTGTGGGAGATTTGTCGTTTAAGAATAAGAGAGCTCTATCATTAACAATATTCAATAGTTCAGTGCCATTTTGATTGTTGACAGAGCAACCCCATAATGTATTTTTGTCATTGAGATCTCCCAACAGAATGGTTTGCTCACCTAAAACAAATAATATGTCATCATACAAGCCTCTCCATCAGGTGGTAAGTGTGCATTAAACTTCTTTATTGGCTTAACATTCCAGTTTATTGATATACCCTGTACTTCCAGGTCAAATTTCTGAATAATTAATTTTTCCCCTGCTGCCTTCGATTCTGGTTGACTGAACTTTAAATATACTTAATGAAAAACAAACTGCATAAAAGCAAATCTCTATAGTTCAAACTTTTAGGTACAATTTTAGGTACTTTTAGGTACAATGAATCACTATTTGTCCAGGAATTATAATATCAATGAATTAACAATATGCAAGAAATAAACTTCACTAACCCCATGCTGGATTTAGAAAATTCTAGGGGAATTTTTAAAATGCACTTACTTTAATGACTTCAGTTGCCATTGGTATTACGAGTGACAATATTATTCCTATTATTAGTTTCTGTGCCATATATTTTACCAGCTTTCTTGGCCATGCTAGCCAACAATTCTAAAGAGTTCTTATATGTGGATTTCAGGGACGTCAGCCATTCTTTCAGACCAATTTCATCCTAAAATATTTGCAGGAAAAAGGAAATAAGTTACCATATAATCACATTACTCCACAACTTAATAAACAATACTAAAGTATATTCAGATGATTTTCAAATCTGATAAACAGAATGATTTTAAACATTTAATAATAAACAAATTTTCACAAAAACATTTGAAACCTATTTTGAATAATATTAATAATATTTACTTTACTTTAAGAAATATAAAAGATTAAATAATTTCTAATATAAATTGATTAACGGATCAGAATTATAATTCTCCAGTGTTCCAAATTACACATTTCTGAATCTAGCTTACAATTATAAGGTTTTTTTCCTCTCCTTACCATGGGCTTTTGTGGTGCAATTGGAAGATCGACGATCAGAACACATTTCTGAATCAAAATTACACTTATGATAATTACATTACATTCAATAAATTAAAATCTGATACATAAAAACAATCTAAAACAATTTTATGCATGTATTAATTAAAAATTTTCAATGAAGTACTTTAAGTTTGTTATGGATAATACTGACATATATAACTTTTATTTAATCAATATAGAATTAAGAAGACCATGAACTTTTTGGTAAAAAACAAATATCATTATTACACATTTCAACAAATAGGACACTGGAAAGTTCCACTACACACAACAAAAGAAAATGCATATTAGCAGTTAGGCCCCACTGCAGCACTCCCCTGGGTCTCTGAATGAAGAGAAAAAATAGATCAATTTTTTTTTATACTGGAGACTTTATTTTAACAATATTTATGTTTTCCCTTTTCAAGGGGACAAAACTATTTATCTAAATATAAAATTATATCTGCAAATGCACCAATGATTAATCGGAATACGTCGGCCCTGCAACTAGATGGCACCACTATATAGGTTGTCTTGGATCTGGAAGAAACTAAGTATTGTTAGAAACTACCATGGATAGATATGGTACTCACAAGAATGTTCTAGAAGAATCCTGTAATTGGATTTCTAGATGAGTGATTCTCAATTGTTTTTTCCCATGCACCCCTTTTTTTATTGCTAGAAGATTATACCACCCCTCTTCCTTTCCAAATCTTGAAAAGTACATAGATTTAGATGTAGATTAGTTTTGTATAAATTAAACAAAAAATATAGAAAATGTTGGTAAATAACAAAACTTGTATAAAAGTAGTTTTTAATTCATAAACTAGAAGTGCTTTACAATTAATTTTCCCCCTGAAACTATGAAATCTCTCTAGTTCAGAACCCCTGTTCTTGAAGAACATCAAATATAAAAAGGCAAATCAAAGATCACAACGGAAGTGCATTTTCTCATCAATTGAGAAGATTATCAATTAACTCTTATGATTGGAGTCCAGAAATTACAGATATTGATCTGCCTGTCCATAGGTCTGCAGTGACTATTTTGAGGACTGCCGTGTTCTCATAGCTTAATTTCTTGGTCTTTTGTAGCATTCTTTGAGCAGCAAATTAACTGAACAGTCCTCGAAAGTCTGTCAGCAAACTTTTCAGTTCTTTGGATTCATCAGAACAAGTCAAGCTAAAGAGCCATCAAATCAACAGACTGATTTTTTAACAATATGAATAAGCATGAAACATAGATACTTTAGTACTGCTCACAAAAGGCAAGGAAAAAAAGAGAAAATCTGCAGAGTCTCATAGAATTTAACTCCTTCATTTAATAGATCTCAAACTCAGTCCACAACAAATGATGACAAGACATAAGGCTAATATTTATAAATTTACTGAAGATTTTTTTAATACTATAACTACTGCAACATAAAATGACAGTCACTCCTCTATTCATAGTACTTTTTAATAATAGTATGTAGGAGAGGCCCCCAAATCAGATGGAATCCAAAAAATCATTAGGAGGCCCCTAAATCAGATGAACAAAATGTAATATTATGCCAGAATTTTCCAAAAATCTCACTTTAAATCTTTTTTTGAATAAAAAAAATTTTAAATGATAAATATATTCACTACTTAATTAATAAAATTAGTAAAATTATCAGAAATTTTGAAATACTGCTATTTTTACCAAAAAATTGTGTTTTTTGAACTTTTGTTTAAACAATAAATAATTTAAAATTAAGATTTAAACTTTTTTTTTTTTTTTTTTTTTTTTTTGTTTTGTATTTCTCATGCTCCAAAATTTACATTAGTAGAAATTGCACTTCAATTGCAGTGCATTTAGTAATTATTTTTTAAAAAATTATGAAAACCAGCAAAATTTTGCAGTTTTTCAAAACTCTGAAAGAGATCTGTGAATGGAAGAAGTATTTTTATATGAAAATTTCTTATTTTATTTTGCATAATCAGGCAATAGGCAACTTTTTCAGGGTGTAGTGATATAAAAATATTTTTAAAAATTTTTTTCAGCCAGCACGAACATACACGCTAGATAGTAGAAGCCCAGAATAACTGGAATATTTTGAATTTTAGAAAATTTTTTGCCAAAAGAATTTAGTAAATGAGAAATTTGTAATGCCATAAGAGAGCTCGTAATACTATTAATGCTTATACATTGTCACCAAACTGTGTGATTTAGCACCAATACTCGATACACAGGATATCAGAATATAATCATAAGTTTGTTTTGGCTTAATGTAAATTTGATTAGTTTATGACAAGATGGTTCAATTTTTGTAAAGAAAGGATATAAGTTCTATTTTTTCCTCACGTTTTGAAGAAATGATTTTTATTTGGGACTGCATGAAATGGAGTCACAGGATCTAGTCATTAACAAAAGCTACGATATGCAACTTTGAAAACGGATATAATATGGCAATGTAAAGTGAAGACTTATAAATGATTTATTTTTTTTATATGCTATATACATGACTTGTATCTTTTTATTATCTAACTAACTAAAGAAAAATCCGCCTTTGTTGGAATGACTGGCAACATCTCTGCCAATTCTCATGTTCAGCTGGATTTTATAATCGGATCAGATGTTTTACAAAGGCCTACAATATCTGTTTGCTTTAATGTCTGAAATGCAATTTTTTTTAAATATAGGCTTTTGATATTCATTTTGTTACAAATGAGATAATCGTCTTTTCAATTTTAGAGCAAAATTGTCCCCATTGATTTGGCTCTTTCTAATGTGAATTCCGATTTTCATACAGTCAACTATCCTGAATTCGTCATTTCCTGAGCTTTCCAGATAATCCAGGGCCTTTACTGTATATGCATATGCATTTATGACACTTTCCTATTTTCTATTTACCATTTGAAAAGCCTCTTTCATTTACATCAGTTTTTTCCTTAAAATTATAAGTACATAAACCAGCAAAATGGACATACAACTGCTATTTTTTAAATTTGTTTGTTTTGTTAAAAGACATAAACAAACATTAAACAGCTGTCATTTTTCTAAGAGCACCAGGATAAATTGTGTAATGTTTTTAATTTAAAAGAACGTGATTTTTTTAAACAAAAAGTTGAAGTGCAGAGAATGATTATTCAGTCCAATATTGCAAGATTCTAATTTTATTCTATGAAAAATATCTCAATTATTACTATAACATACAACATGTACCATAAAAAGTAAGCTAAAGTCAGATTTTCATTATAAGAAGCAGATAAAAAGATCATAAGAATAAAATTAATTAATAAGCATAAAGTAAAACACACACACACACATATATATATATATATATTGTCGCATGCATACAGGTTTGTAATATATTGAATACACAAGTCCAATAAAAGGTTAATAAAATTTATCCTTATCAAAAGAAATATAACAGAACACTGGAATTTTCCTCAGAGGTATTCGTAAAAGACACACAATATCACACGATATAATCAGCAGTTATACTTCAAACTACTAAAAACGTTAAAATACAACAGGATGGAAGACAAGGCTAATTCAGATAAATCTCATATTATCTCAAATGAAGACTAATTCAGATATCTCAGTTCCCGTGGAACTAAACAAATCGCAATAACTGTAACTAAGCAACTAACAAAAAGACCTGAGCTGAGATGTTCTCTCGCTGGCTTTGTATAGCTTTCAATCGGTCACAAGAAATTTCCAGTAACTTCTGCATCTCAAGAGACACCAACATGAAGATGGAATTATGGTTACAGATACATTTATTCAATTTCAATACAAATTAAAGAGATACCTATTTACTGAGATGACCATTTACTCAATGTTAAATGCACATACCCCTGTATTCTTCGGGCATAGGAATCTCAAAAAACTTTGTCTCGGGCTAAATTACACAGAAAGATACTATAATTTTACTTATAATTCTACTAAAATTGCCTATCTAAATACAAAACTCATAACATTGCCCCCTTCCCAAGGACTGAAGGTCCCGGGCAGTAAACTTTCTGTACAGGAACCATACTTACAACTAAAGCAACTATGTGATAACATTATAATACAATAACACACAACATAAGCAATAATTGCAATAAATAACTTAAACAATAAATCAATAAATGAGTGCACAAATTTACAAAGTGGGAAACAAAAATCATGGTCTTATACTCTTTACATTACATACACTATGTACTGTGGCCATAGTAAGGAGCTAGCCTACAGTTTGATGACTTACAGATCCGAACTAAGACGTTTCTCAGCCTGTTTAAGGCTGTGTAAGGAACAACTCAACGGTAACTGTAGTTTAGGACAGAGTCCTTTGCGTTCAATCAGATTCCACAACCACACCTTGTCTCCTTCGTCGAATCAGTGTCCTATAGCTCTAGTATAGTACAGGGTCTTCATCTCCTATGGCGCCAAGTTGACTTGCTCTCATGCAAAATTGTGCATCACTTCAAACCTGGCCTGGAGATCTTGGGTGTAGTCCTCAGGTGATGGAAGGGCATTCAGAAGGCGACCAAACAGAAGATTGCAAGGCAGACGAAGGTCACGACCCAAGAGCATCTGAGATGAGGAACGGCCAGTAGTCTCATGGACAGAACTGTGATAAGTCAATAAAAATAAAGGTTACATCTTGTCCCGGTCCTGTTGGTTTCTGGGAAACCACCAAT